TTTTTTAAATTACTGCTCCTTGTACAGCAGGGCTAACCCATGGGCAGTGTGCCCAAAGTAAACTGATCTTTTCATGAAAATAACTAGACTAGTGGTCTTCCACTTTTCCTGCCTGTAGACATGGGAAGCACCACCATTATTTACAGATCTTATAACACACAATTACTCTGAACCAGACTGTAGTATGTTGTGGGAGGTTTCTTATCAGAATCTGGGGGAGTATATAGATAGTTAGCAAAAGCCATATCTGATATTCCTCTCCGCTGCCTCTGCCCGGGCCACTCCATGGACTGTGGATCACAACCTTGATCCAGATTTTCCTGAAGGCAGGGATTCCCTTTAAATCCCCAACACCAAACACAGTCCCTGGCCTATAGGATGCTGATGTAGTTTGGATGTTTGTCCCCCCAAAATCTCATGTTGACATTTGATCCCCAATGCTGGAGGCAGGGCATGGTGGGAAGTGCTTGGCTCAAGGAGGTAAATCCCTAATGAGTGGCTTGGTGCCTTCCCCATGGTAATGAGTGAGTTCTCGCTCTATGAGTTCATGTGAGAGCTGGCTGTTAAAAAGAGCTTGGCGCCTCTTGCTTTCCCTCTTGTTTCCTCTCTTACCATGTGACTCCTGCTCCCTCTTTGCCTCCCACCATGATTGGAAGCTTCCCGAGGCCCTCACCAGAGCAGATGCTGGTGCCATGCTTCTTGCACAGCCTGCAGAACTGTTAGCCCAAATATACCTCTTTTCTTTATAAATTACCCAGCCTGGGATATTCCTTTATAGCACCATATAGAGGACTATGACAGATGCACTTCATAAATATTTGTTGAATAAACATAGATATTGACAAAGAAGGGAGCAAGAAGATACTTGGGATCTGGAGGTTTGGATGAAACAATTAGTAAAAAGGAAAAGTATTACCCACTTCCCAATTTTGTCAAAGCTAGCTTGTGGGGAGACAGCATATAAAATAGTGATAATATCTAACTCTTATTGACGGTTTACTGTTTGTCTGCCGTGTTACAAAGCAGTTTCTAGGCATTATCTCATTTAATGTTCACAGTAATCCTAGGACATAGATACTGTTATTATTCCCACTTTATAGATGATGAAACAGGCTCAAAGAGGTCAGGTAGCTTCCCCACAGTCGCATGGCTGAGAAATGGTAGAGCACAGTTTCAAATTCAAGCAATCTGATTCCAGACAAATCGATCCAAAGAACTGAAATGCCAACACTGTGTCAGAGCCTTATCAAGGCTTTTCCTTCCCCTCCTCCATATCTCCCCTCCTCACATTTGGGCATTTTTCCAAGTATTTCCAGACAGAACTAAAGCCTTTCATCACTCCCTTTTTCCAACCTCAATCCCATTTTCAGAAGTATGTAATTCTCCCATCCACCCTCCCTACCTGTAGGTAATCGAAGACTCCATGAGTTGTTAATGAGAAATAGTCACAGAGTCTCTCCTCCTCTTAGGAATGTCCCCGAGATCCAATCTCTCTCCCACCCCCAGCAGTCAAAGTGTTCCTTATAGCCTTCTCTGAAGGGCCTCTCTTCAGAGTCCCACAGTCCAGGGTTCTTTGTTCTCCTTTAATCACACTTGGAGCCTCCCTAATGTCTCCTCTTCCATTTGTGTATCCCAGTACCTTTCTGTACTTTTCTACCATGTGTGCTGACTAAAGCTAATTGGGGCTGGGGGTTTAAGATCAGGGGTCCAAAGATGACCAACCTGTTCAACCCTCAGTAAAGCACTTGGTATAAGCTGAACTTCAAGTGCCAGGCCTGATTTCCATAGTGACACCCGTGGGGATTGTTGCCATGGTAATACTGGAAAGACACTGGCCACTGTGAACGTTACCTCTCGTCTCCATTTTTCTTTATGAGACTCCTCCAAAGCAAGGGAGAGCCCTGCTCTCCACTTCAAATATCAAATCCCAGGCCACCCCAAACAGTACTGATTCTGCTCCAATAACCCTGCAGGTCCCAACCTAGCTTTGCCAAGTGAGGTACACAATGGTCCTAGCTTCTTGCATTAAGAACCCACTTAACCATCGGGAGACCTGAGGGAGGTAGCTGTGTACACTTGAATGAAGGGGAAAGAGAAAGAGTGTGTGTATACATATGTGTTTCTTCACTGTCATCCCTCCCACATCTGGTACACATGCATCCACCCAGACAGCAGGCATTGGGACACTGCTGAGAAAGACCAAAGCAGAGGAAGACAGAGAGACACTTAAATGGGTCTGGTGAAAAAGTCACACTGGATTCTGAGTGTGCAAAAGCAAAACAAGATGGGCACCACACATAGACAGTGACCCAGACACCCTTCTACTATGACTCAGGCCATTTACTTTGGCTAAGCCCCATCCCCCAGGTTCCTGGAAGAAGTCAGAGGAGTAGGGGAGAAAAAAGGCACACAGAGCTGTCTCTCCAGCTTATTCTCCTACCCTCTAACAAGCAGAACAAAGCCCATGAACAGAAGGGACTCTGAAGCTCAGCGTTAGCCGCAGTGCTGCAGAGGCGAAGGGGAGAGCAGTCACAGGAAGGAGTAGGGGCTGCACTGGGAAAGATTATCTCTCCCACCTTCACTCTTTCCGAACCTTCCCAGACATCCTGAAGCAGCCTCCTCCATTAATTCCTAAGCCAGCTCCCAACCCGGTGGGCTCCAAAGAGAGCTAGAGGAGAAAAGAGAAAAAGGAGTAGGAGTTTCCTTCCCTTATTGGGACCCTCAAGGGTCTCCTAAAAATCATGCCCCCTGTAGCCCTCATTCCCTAAATGATGAATGAATATTAAGTCTGAAAAAGCAAACTCCAAAGATGTTGCCTGAGACAAAATGGCCCCCCATAAGCATTTATCTTCAAGTGAGAGACTGACAGGGAGGGCTAGGGTGAGGGAAGATACAAGCGAATGAGACAAAGATACAGCCCCACAGATACCAGGCAAAACAGACAAGGAAGATCCAGCAGTGGAGCTGAGATGGAATCTGAATTGGCAGGGGGCCTTGGGCTTCTTTTCATCTCTCCTCCTTGCCCACCTCCCACTGTGTGTCTCTCCTGTTTAGCTGGGCTAACAACAGATCGACACCACACCCCTCTTCCCAACATCACCCCCTGCCCCATCTCACTACACCAGGATGGCCCAGAGAGCCTAAAGGAGATGGTTCAGACCTACTGGAAAAACCTTCCAGAGCATGGAAATAGGGCCTAAAAGTTTTGCCCCCCATCATCACCCCCACCCTGTTTGTCAGCCTTTATGTCTCAAGGGGATCTTAAGCTCCAACTCTCACAACTAATGCTGGCTCTCCAGGACACTCTGAGAGGGGTCCTCCCGAGTTGATCCAGGAGTTGTTTGGTGGTTGTTTTGTTTTGTTTTGTTTTGTTTTGTTTTGTTTTTAGCCCAGTCAGACTGAACAGTCTGCAGGGCCAGAGAGGTCCCTGAAGCAAAAAGAAACAGAGGCCCTCTCCATGTGACAAATACACACACACACACACACACACACAGAGAGAGAGAGAGAGAGAAAGAGAGAGAGAGAGAGAGAGACAAAAGCATCCATTTGAGTTAACAGTGTGGGTAAGGGTGCAAGGTGGTGACAGACTGGGGCCCTTGGAGACTAGTAAGCAGGTCTCCCCCGAGGCATGTTTATTCAAAGTCCCATTCTCACTGACTCAGAAGGCCCAGGCTTCGTCCCCTTCTTTCTTTCATTCCTTTAACAAGCATGTTTCCAGGTGCTCTGTGCCAAGCACTGTGGATAAAGATACATAAGAAGCACCTCTGACCTTGACTGCCCTCGTACATGCCCCTCCCTTCTCAAGCTAGTTTTCGTTTCCTGGCGCAGCACCAGGACTCAACCCCAGGTCTTTTCTCCCCACACACAGCCTGAAGTCCCTACCAACCTCAGGGGGAGTGGGCAAGGCCTAGAATTTCCCTTTGGGCCATTACAGATAAAGGTGCAGAACAGAAACCTGGCTAGGCAATGTGATAGAAGAGATGGGAGGTTTGCAGTCACAGATTTAGGTTCAGATCCATGGATTAATAGCATGACCTTGAGAAAGTTATTCAAGTTCTTTGGGCCTCAATTTCTGCATCTGTAAAATGGAAATATTGATACTACTTTCGAATGCTGTGTCAGGGGTTAAATAATATACATAGAGTAACAGGCCCACTGTAAATATTAGTTCCCTTAAGATATCCTCCTTGGGTAGGGCTGTCATGATGAGGTAGAGCTGGACGGCTACTTTCTCTTGGATCCTCAAGAGAAAGGATGAATAAGCAAGTACTTACTAGGATCTCAGGGTTTGGGCATTTTTCTTTCAGGGGGGCAGCTGGGGAATCTGAAACCCTCTTCCTACTGTAACTGGGAACGAAAGGCAGATCTGACCTTAGGATTCCAGAGGCTCCCCCCAAGATTGGGTGTGGCATCAATGATTTCTTTCCCGGTAAACCCTGCATCAGACCTGTTCCCCCCAACACACACACAAAAATCCAGGCTATAACTACTTTAGGGAATGATGGAAGGGTTGGTCTTAGAGCCCACTTCCATCCACACTCTGCAGAGACCCTGGGCTGCTCACCTCCCATCTAGTCCACCCAAAAGTCTTCCCCCTTACCTTCTTGGGAGGTGAGGGTAGAGATCTGAGCCAATAACAAAGGGAAGATGCGCTTTCTCTTGGTGGTGGGGGGGGGGGAGGGTGGAGAAGGGGAAAACATCAGAAAAACATGGAACTGGTTCTAACGGGTGGAGACGCTGCAGACAGCAGCAAAGGGGAGTTGAGTCTCCCGAAGGTAGGAAAGCAGCCCCCTGCCACTCTGCAGAGACTCAGCCGCTGGCCTGGTCAGGCCACACCCAGCCATCCTGATGCAGGGGAGAGGAGGGGCTGCGGGGAAGAGGATGAAGGATGAGCGGCGGGGAGCGGGCGCAGAGGGACCGGCAGAGACTAAGGTTCTGCGCGAGGCGGGGAGATTTAGCCACCCGCCCCCTCCCCGAATTCCCTCCTGGGCGACACTCACCCCAATAACGACGCTGTCGTCCCCTTGGAAAATGGGGATGAACTTGTCTCCCCGCAGAATCTCAGCCTGGTTTAGCGGCCGGAATCGGCAGAGCACCTTGATGCTACATTCGTTGTTGGTCTCCGCCATGGTGGTCGCCGGCGTGGAGCTGGAACACTTCTTGGGCTGCAGGGGTGGTGTGTGCTCCAGAGGAGAGGGCTCTCAGCTAAGGCTGAGGCGGAGGACAGGTGCTCAGTCTCTGGGGGCAGAGTTGAGGGCGCCCGGGCGAAGCCTGGGGAGCAGGGCCGGGGCGCGCTCTCTCTCTCCTGCGGCAGCGGGATGCGGGAGACCTGGGCGTCTGGTCCTCTCCGGCGCTCTGCCTCTCCGCCCCTCGCGCTGCAGCGCCGCGCTGCGGGCCTGGGCGGGGCCGCGATGGAGGAGCGGGGGCGGGGCTCCCTCAGCTGGGGAGGCTGGCTCGACGTCGACCCCCGAAGGCTGGAACCTCACTGCTCCTCTGCTTCCTCCCCCATCCCTAACGTTCGGAGATAACCTTGCCCTCCACCCTTCCCCACCCAACTCACTGCATCCCACCCCTATACCCTCGATCTGTTTGTCCCTCCCTCAGACTCCACCCCCTGGAAGGGATAAGGAGACCCAGGTGGGCCTGTCACCTGTGTAGCGAAAAGGGTCAAACAGATCTCCCACTCCCTTTATTCCAGGGCATCCCCCAACCCGTCACTAGCCTCTCTCCAAACTGGGATCACATTTCTCATTCACCCCCTACGCCCCTCCCATGCCCCACACGCACGGAAGCTGGACTCCCAACCCACTCAGCTTTCTGGGGGATCGCTGCCTGTACTCCTATGGAGGTGGGTGTCAGGGAGGAGTGTCATGGGAGGTTCTGGCTACTCCCTTCCCCTTCCACATCCAAAGGTGCACTCTACTGTCTCCCCAACGTACACAGCAGGTCCCCAGTTTCAGGGAAGATAAACTCCCATTCTGGGTTATGGGAATTCAAAAGCAGACGCAATACTTATTTTTGTGTCCTAGGTTGAGGATGGGATGATGATGGGTAGGAAACATTTTTGCAAGAGAAAGGGAGTCAGAAAGCAGTGAAGGGGGGGCAATGATGGGGATGGGGAAGGCCAGAGAGACTTTGAAGTCTAAGGCAAACACCTGCATTTGGGTTTCAGGCAAATTCAGGTACCTATGGGAGTGTGTGTTTCCCGTCTCAGTAACCATTGGAGGATAGAGTCCCAATACTTCAGCCCCCTTCCCTGGCCAAAAAAAGAAAAAAAAAGGTGTGGGGGAAGAAGAACGAAAGAAATGCCAAGCCCCAGAGATTCCTTGTCCTTTCTCCCTTTGGGTCAGACTCCTGCTGCAGCCCCTGGAAAGAACCACCCAGAAGCTGGCCAAATTGATTTTTCTCCACGTCACAGGCCTCTGCTAGCCAACAGAGAGTTGGACTGCAGGAGTTGAGGTTCTAGGCAAAGGGGAAGGGCAGGGTGGATGGGAGAAGGAGGAGGAAAGGAAAGTTCAGCTCAGCAATTGTCTCATGAGTGGTTAAGGTCACTTAGACACTATGGGACAAAAGCAAGAGGCTGATAGCCTGGCCAGACAAGACGTAACTACTCAGAACTCAGGGGGCTTCCCACGTTGGGGCTACACCTCTAACCCACCTTGAATCTTAAGGGAACTGAAAGAAAAGAGTCCAACATAATGAATGGGATAGGAAAGCGGTAGGACTATGGAGAAAGGGATAGAGGCTTGGGGAGGAGCCAGGAGAAAGAAAGACAATGAGTTCCGAATTCAGGAACTCTCTAGTCACTTGGTTTGGCACAATTTCTAAGTGTTGCAGCATCCTGCAAGCTCAGGAAACATCCTGGGAAACATCCCATCCTTGGGTCCCCAGGGCCTCCAAGGTGGCATCTTTAGTAAAGGGGTTTCAAAATGCCAGTCCATGGAGGGTCACTGGTCAGAGACAAAAGTTCACTGAGTATGCCCTCACCTCCAAAAGAACAATGGTGAGTTGTTGTTGTTGTTGTTGTTGTTTTTTAATATAAAGCTGGATTTGATAAGTTTCAAAAGATTATCTTTTATTCTGAGTGTGTCCTTCCTGCTTTTCTACTAAGTAATGATTGTGACAGTAAACAGTAGGTTTTCTGTTTGTAATATACTTACTTGATAAGAAAGTAAATCTTCAAGGTTTGTAGTTGTTTTAATTTTATTGAACGATGAAATTTAAAAGTCTGAGAACGGGAGGTAAGAATGGTGAATAGGTACAAAAAATTAGAAAGTATAATAAGACCTACTATTTCATGGCACAATAGGGTGACTATAGTCAAGAATAACTCAATTGTACATTTTTAAATAACTTGAGTGTAATCGGATTATTTGTAACTTAAAGGATAAATGCTTGAGAGGATGGATACCCTCTTCTCCGTGATGTGCTCATTTCACATTGCATGCCTGTATCAAAATATCTCATGTGTCCCATAAATACATACACCTACTGTGTACCCACTCAATTGAAAAAATTGAAAAATAAATAAAAGTCTGAGAACTATTAACAAAGCGGTTAAGAACACAGAGAGTGTTCAGACAGACATGGAGACACCACTTATCTATTTATGAACTTCAGATAAGATTGCCAGATTTGAAAAACAGAAAACAAAAACAGGATGCCCAGTTAAAGTTGAATTTCAGATACATAATTATTTGGGGGTTAGTATACCCACACACACCCACACACACCACACCAAACACACACACACACACACTTATTATCTAAAATTCAAATTATCTGAAAGCCCTTACTTGAGAAGATTGCCTAACTTTTTCATTCCTAACTTACACTAAGCGTTTACTAAATTTTACTTCTTGTTTTTACTTTGTTTTTATAATACACAGTATCAAGCAAACTTGTTGTTTTTGAAACCCTGGCTGTGTCACTTATGACTAGCTGTATGATTTAATCTAGTCATTTTATTCCTGGGAGCCCAAAACAGGAATTATAAATGTTCTTTCATTGACTTGCTGAAATAGCTCCCCAAGGTTCGTTTTCGTCGCTCCCCGCCCAAGCTCCGGTACACCAAAACTACACATCCCACAATCCTTGGCGGCGTCCCTTGGCCATTACTTCATTCCCTGGCCTCGTTCTCCCCAGTCCCGGCCTCTCCAGGGGTGTGGCAGCGGGGCTGTTCTCGCGACTTTTGCTTTACCCTTCTGCTGTGCTACTGCTGTCGCGAGACTTCCTGCTCATCTGCCGCTCCCTTTGCCGCCGCCTTAGCCCGGGACCCGAACCCAGCCTCTCCCCTATCCGAACACCGGCCCCGGCTCCTCCGAGGCAACGGTCCCCCAGCCCCGTCTCGCCGCCGCCATGGCGGACCCTAAATACGCCGACCTTCCCGGCATTGTGAGTACAAGGCCGGCCCCGGCTTCCCAGGACCGCGCCCCCGACCTCCCAAGGACCCCCAACAGAAACCAGCCCGCGACCCCTCTCGCCTGCAGCCCATCTTCCGCCCAAGGGCTCCCGCCGCTCGTTCTCCGACCGGCCGCAGCACCCCCCGAACTCTTCTGACCCGACTGGGCCGGGCCGCCGGACGGCTCACCAGGCCCCCTTTACGGCAGTCGCCGGTAGCTCGGCCCAGAAATCGACTCCGGGTACTGACCGCTTGTGCCCGAGTGTTTCCACCATCCGTGTCAGCGCCGCCCATGCCCCCGCCAAATCTCTCCATAAGACCCCCACACCCCTACCCCAGACACACACACCAGACCACTTAGCGATTACCTTCATCCTGACAAGGAAAAGGTTACCATGGCAGAACCCTCTTGTGCCAGATGGGGTGCTCTATCCTTGGGGGAACCTGTGCCCTCCCCGACCTCCCACTCCCATGACAATCCTGGCGTGTACCTTTTGTGCTGCCCTGCCTGCTTCTCAAGGTGCGGGTTGGGACACAGGACCTTGAGTACTAAGGTCCTGAGTCACTCTCAATCCTTGTGCTAGGGTAGTGGTGTACAGGGCCTAATTGGAGGATAGCCCTTACCTTCTTCGGCAGTAGTGATTGCCACAGACCTGCCCGCTTCTAGATTTAGGGTAACATCGTTACTATCACACTCACCGTTTACTGTCAGGTCCCAGTTGTCTCCGCTGTCATCCCTACCCCTTGAGACATGGGAATTGACATACTGTTGACTCACGGGGCAGGTGGAGGAGAAAGGACAGAACCCTGGCATCACACCCTGCCTTCTCCGTTAGCTTATTTAAATGGAGTGGGGTAAGGGGTGTTGCGATGCTGGGTAGTGAGGTTGGGTGGTCACTGCTTCTACCTGCAGGCCAGGAATGAGCCAGATGTTTATGAAACCAGCGACCTACCTGAGGATGATCAAGCGGAGTTTGATGCGGTAAGAATGTGTGCTGCCACAGATTCCTCCGAACTCTGACCTTTCTCCCCTAGACAGGTCCTTCCCTTTCTCTGGGGAACTACAGCAATAAGCGGGTATGCCAACCCCAGCCTGGGTGGTATATAGGTTGCAGGACTTGAAAAGACCTTGCTGGGCTTGCAGCCACCAATGAGCAACGGCAGGAGGGAGAGTCATGTCGGTGGAATTACAGCTAACAACATCTGTTTGCAAAGCCCTGATCCTTGGACCTTTTAAATAAAATTGAAATGTCTCAAAACAGATTTGGGGCTAGTGACTTAGGCCCCTGGGTTCTAACCCATGGAAATGAATCATGAAGCCTAGGCACTTGTAATAAACTGCTACCGAGAACTAGACTTTGAAATATAGAGAAATACTTTTAAAATATGAATACCCAGTATCCACTGGGCAAGGAATTAAGAAAGTGATTCCAAGATTTTAGAGTAAAACAAATTTGAGGAAGAATTTCATATCAGCAGATGTGAGATTGTGGTTGCATTTTTAGATCTGAGAACTCTGAGGATGGAGTAATTAGGTGCGGACACATTTTAACTGTGAGCGGAAACACTTAGCATGGTTTTTTGAATGTGTTCATTCGGTTTTTTTTTTTTTTTTTTTTTTTTTTTGTGCAATGCAGAGGAAGAAATGTCACTGCCCCCAATCAGCCCCAGACTAATGGGGAATTAGGATACATATAGGAAACATATAGAAGGAAAACAACAACAACAACAAAATTGAGTGAATGGAAATCAACATAGTAAAAACTCTGTTTAAGTGCCAAGGGGTGTGTTTATAGGATGTGTTTTAGGTTCTATTATTTCTGAAGAGAGCTGGGCTGGGATCACATTGGTGATGTGAGTTCTCAGTAAAGGTGTGTCCAAGAGTCATTGCAATATGCAGGCTCAGTTTGCTTGTCTGTAAGTCCTGTGGCTATTGTCTGTGGGGCTCGTTAGTTCTGGGGAATGCTGACTGCTGGCTTACAATGTATGGCTTGGCGTACTCACTTATTTCTTACTTGACTCCCCCATGTGGAAGTGGTTCTTACGTTGTGGGAAACACCTTCTCTGTCCCTTCTCCCAGTGGTATGTTCCTTGTGGCTTCCGTATTTGCTGGCATGCCAATCTATCCCCCAAGCTTGAGTATCTTGGAGATAATGCAGATGATGATGTTGCTCAAGAACCTGGGTGTGCACCTGTCACTCCAAGAGGCATCTTATAGGAAGCTGCCTCTGTCCTCACAGAATAGGAGTGTATACAGTTGGTTCTCTGTGTTTATGGGTTCTAAACCCATGGATTCAACCAACCACGAATGGGAAATATTTTTTAAAAATAAAAAATAGGCCCGATGCGGTGGCTCATGCCTATAATCCCAGCACTTTGGGAGGCTGAGGCAGGTGGATCATTTGAGGTCAGGAGTTCGAGACCCTGTCTCTACTAAAAAATACAAAAATTAGCAAGGTGTGGTGGCGAACACTTACAGTCCCAGCTACTAGGGAGGCTGAGGCAGGAGAATTGCTTGAACCCGGGAGGTGGAGGTTGCAGTGAGCCGAGATTGCGCCACTGCACCCCAGCCTGGGCAACAGCAAGACTCTGTCTCAAAAAAAAACCCATTACAACAATAAAAAGAATACAATGAGATCACTTGGACGCAGGAAAGGAAGCATCACACACTGGGTCCTATTGTGGGGAGGGGGTAAGGGGAAGGGAAAGCATTAGGAGATATACCTAATATAAATGATGAGTTAATGGGTGCAGCACACCAACATAGCACATGTATATATATATGTAACAAACCTGCATGTTGTGCACATGTACCCTAGAACTTAAAGTATAAAAAAAAAAAGAATACAAAATTTAAAAACACAATATAACAACTATTTACATAGCATTTACATTGTACTAGGTATTTTAAGTAATCTAGAGATGATTTAAAGTATACAAGAGGATATGTGTAGGCTATATGCAGATACTATGCCAATTTATACAGAAGATGTGAACATATGCAGATTTTAGTATCAAGGGAGGTCCTGCAACCAGTCTCCCACAGTTGCCAAGGGACAGCTGTATGCTGAGAACTTTACTGCACTACCACAGTTCAGACTATTCAACTTAGGCTTAGGCTTCTGCCCTTCATGGTGAGATAATGAATAGAACTCTTTCCTTTTGTTGCTGACTGTGATACAAACAGGTAGTTTCATAGTAATCCCCTTTCTAAACAAAAAAAAAATATATTGTCATTCCTGTTTGAAGATACTGGGATATCTCTTAATAAAAAGGAGATGACACCTATTCCAGGTGTGGAAGAACCTGATTGTGCAGCTCTGAGTGGCTGTTTCTCCCCCAGAGCCTGAACAGCCTATTTTAGTAGCATCTAGCGGGGTGGCTGATGAGGAGAGGATACCGTGAGTGTTCATTTCCTGTGGCATATTGCCCAGGGTGCCAATATAGAAGTGCATATGAGCTGAATGGCAAATAGAAGAAGAGTCGAATTGTTTCTGTCACCTAAGGCTCAGCTAAGTGACTCTCTCTGTCACTAGGGAGGAATGGGGTGGGCAGACCTTCAGCCGCTTCAGGAGCCCTAAGAGCCAAGATGTTTCCTGATGTCAGCTAATGTCTCTGGCCCCGGCATGTCCCTATGGGGCTTGCAGCTTTTGGGAAGTCAGCTGAGTAATGGCTCTGCCGCTGCTTTTAATACTGACGTAAATATGCAGTTTGAGGAGCAGTGAATTGTATGCTTAGATAATCTAGAAATGTCATGTCCATGAGGCCTGGGATCTCACCAGCAGCCTGTCTGTTTCCTGCCTACCTGCCCAAGACCTAGTATGAGTGACAGTGCACATGACCTGTCTTGTGGCTGAACCATGAGATTTTCAGTCACCTTCTTTTTTTGTGTGTTTTTTTGAGACGGAGTGTCGCTCTGTTGCCAGGGTGGAATGCGGTGGTGTGATCTTGGCTCACTGCAAGCTCCACCTCCCGGGTTCACGCCATTCTCCTGCCTCAGCCTCCCGAGTAGCTGGGACTACAGATGCCCACCACCATGCCTGGCTAATTTTTTTGTATTTTTAGTAGAGATGGGGTTTCACTGTGTTAGCCAGATGGTCTCGATCTGCTGACCTCGTGATCCGCCTGCATTGGCCTCCCAAAGTGCTGGGATTACAGGCGTAAGCCACCGTGTCCAGCCTCAGTCACTTTCTTAACCCCTGACAACAGCATTCTCTGCCTTAATCTTCAGATTATTTTCAACTTTAATTTTCTCAGTTTTTAAAGTAGGTAATATATGCACAGGGAACAGAGGATTCAAGGCTAAGTAGTGAAAAATCTGCCTCCCACCCCTGCCTACCACCACTCAGTTCTCTTCCCTAGAGACAACGAATATGGACAGCCTCTTGTGGAACCTTTCAGGGGGTCTCCAGATTTCTTTCTATTTTTTGAGACAGAGTCTTACTCTTTCCCCCAGGCCAGAGGGCAGTGGCACAATCTTGGCTCACTGCAACCTTTGCCTCCCCATTTCAAGCAATTCTCCTGCTTCAGCCTCCCGAGTAGCTGGAATTACAGGCATGCGCCACCATATCTGGCTAACTTTTTGTATTTTTAGTAGAGATGGGGTTTCACCATGTTGGCCATGCTGGTCTCAAACTCCTGGCCTCAAGTGATCCAGCCATTATGGCCTCCCAAAGTGCTGAGATTACAGGCGTGAGCTACCATGCCAGCCAGGTCTCCAGATTTCTGTCTAAAGGAATAGTCAAGTTGTGTCGACCCCACTGCTCCATAACTTTCTTCCTCAGATTCCTCCACTGTGGAAGAAATTGGGCTACTGAAGGAAAAATGTCCTTAGACATCCCTTAAAGATTTAAATTGCTAATTTAACTTAAACATAAACATTTTCCGATTCCCATAGTGGGGAGGATGGGGGAGGAAAGCATAAAAGATTTAAAGTTTGCTACAGATGATCCTGAATTTTTTTTTTTTTTTTTTTTTTTTTTTTTGAGATGGAATTTCACTCTTTTTGCCCAGGCTGGAGTGCAGTGGTGTGATCTTGGCTCACTGCAACCTCCACCTCCCGAGTTCAAGAGATTCTCCTGCCTCAGCCTCCTGAGTAGCTGGAATTACAGGTGTCCATCACTACACCCGGCTATTTTTTTGTGTTTTTAGTAGAGACCGGGTTTCACCATGTTGGCTAGACTGGTCTCGAACCCCTGACCTCAGTGATCCACCCACCTCAGCCTCCCAGAGTGCTGGAATTACAAGCGTGAGCCAACTGTGCCTGGCCAATCCTGATTTTTCTACTGTCCCTTTAAAACAATTTTATCAGGAAGTAAAATCTTCTAGAACAGGAATGGACCAGGAAAGGGCGCAGGCTGTAGCCCTTTCCTCCTCAATCTGAGAAGATCTCTTGGCACTTCAGACACTGCCAGGTTAATTGGGACAATAGGCTTGCTTGGAGATTTTTCTTAAAATGTTTGGAAAACTAATTCCCAAATAGAATTCCACCCACACACACCCCCACCCTAACCCCTGGGCCCACCGCCTGCCTTGGGTTGGTAAGGCTTTCTGCTAATGGCTTTTGAACTGCTGCAATAAGGGAAGTAAATTAAGAAAAATCTCATTAGAAACAATTTAGCTTCTCTCTTTATGGCGTAACTACCCCCAGTAAAAGGGGAAAAAATGACCTAGCCATAGTTTGAGGTGGCCCTGGCAGAGGCTTCATTTCTCCAAAAGGTAGATATTACTGGACACTCCTGAGATGAGAAACAGTAGGTCTCTTCCTTACAGTTTAGAAGATCCTGGAGTATGCTTGATTGTGTTCATTGACTGTTGGCACACTTGAACTTACCTGAGTTTTTCCTAATGCTTCCCCCATCCTCCCTCCTCACCACCTTGCCTGGACACTAGTTTGCACAAGTAAGACCATTCAATGCTTCTTCTCTGCATGTTTTTTTTATCTGCCATCTCGCATGCAATGCTCTGCCACTGTGCTATTGTTGTAGCTAATCGTTTTAAATTCCAGTGAGTCCCTGGCTGGGTCACTGAGGGTCCTGATGGCCTTATGTTTAAAGATCATTAATCAAGGGTTAGAAACAGCTATGATCCATGAATCATTGTCTCTTCCCCTTGTGAGGTCTGCAGAGTAAAACTGTCCAATGGAGGATGGGATAGAAGCATGGAGGCTATAAATGCTTTTGAACATGAGGCATTTAGGGGCTGGAGTTAGAAGAGAGTTGCCTTTCTCCTCCTCAGACTAAGATCAAATGAAGATATTTTTTATGGAACGACTTTTAGCTATTCTAGACAAGGACAGAGAACAAAAGGAATGACAGCCACAGTCCTCAGTTCTTGGCTGTATGTGGATTATCTCTGGGAAAAACTCATTTTAATATTCCCCTATGCTAGGTCTTCAGAGAAATGTAAATGGGATCAGAAGGAGGTTTATATGCAATTGTAAGATAATAACTTGGATTATTTGTGCTTTTGTGAGTCTTTCTGTTTCTGCACCCCTCCTTTTGCAATGGATGGATGGATGGTCAGCAATATATTGATCCATCCCGGACAGTTTTACTCTACAGCTCTGTCCATCTTCCTTGTCATCATGATTTTGAAGTACCCTGGGTGCAGTGTTGGCTCAGAGAATAGCAGTGGCCACTTTCCCTGTCTGATTTAGAACCTCAGATCTTGCCCTCTGAGGCACAGCCACTTAGCCAAACAGCCCTGGGGGGTCTGGGAGTCTGTTAGTGAAAGAGACTGGGAGTCACATACTAGGTAAGCTGGCACCCGGGGTCAGGGCACTTGAAATCTTCCAATCAAGGTGACTAGTACTACTGCAGGTTATGCAGGAATCATGCCTAAAATCTCATCATCCTTCAACCCACCCATAGGACAGACCTGGAGGTGGTATATACTATCTGCAAACTAATATACCACTTTTCCTTTTCTTTGATTTTCTGTCCTCCCTGTTCTGCCCAGTCCACTTGGTTTGAACTTGAGCTTATGGCCCATTGTCTTCTCTTTCTCCTTGAGTTTCTCCCAAGCTGGTTTTAGCTTGATGGGACAAATCAGAGAAAGGTATAGTGTGCGTACTTCTCCTTTGTGTTTGCATGTGTGCAGCTATGGGTGCTTGTGCCCACTCTATGCAGAGACATCCCAGCCTCGACCACAGGACAGGACCTGGAGCCACCTCTACCCTGAACTGAAAGAGTAATCTTTTTTTTTTTTTTTGAGACAGAGTCTCACTCTGTTGCCCAGGCTGGAGTGCAGTGGCATGATCTCGGCTCACTACAACCTCCGCCTCCTGGGTTCAACTGCAACCTCCACCTCCCGGGTTCACATGATTCTCCTGTCTTAGCCTCTCGAGTAGCTGGGATTATAGGCGCCCACCACCACGCCTGGCTAATTTTGTATTTTTAGTAGAGATGGGGTTTCACCACAGTGGCCAGGCTGGTCTCAAACTCCTGACCTCAAGTGATCCACCCGCCTCGCCCTCCCAAAGTGCTGGGATTACAGACGTGAAACACTGTGCCTGGCAGAAAGAGGAATCTTGGCTGGGACCCTAGCATCATCTAGGGAACGGAGAGGTTATGGGTCAGAGGTATCTGGATGAAACACTGGTGAAAGGAAGCACTTGTTTTTAATCCCACCATGTTTTTTCATATGCACACACCATTCTCAACCTTCCACACTTCCATCTGCCCATCAGCAGAGCTCCTAGAAAGGCAGGGCATACCACTGGATATCCCCTCCTGGCAGTTCTAAACCAGCCTTGCCTCGAAGTGGGAGCCTTATCTATGTTGCCCAAACTCAAATAAGGCCTCTTGGAAATACTCTCACCCTTCCCCCTTGTCTACCCTCCAACCCCTGTGAATCTTGTGAACAGAGGGTTGAAGAAACATGTTCTGCACATGTGCTGGTAGCTGTGAATCTTAGTGTCCCCTGGACCCATCATAGCAGAATTACTTTGGATCCCTCGGAGCTGCGGGGTGAGTTATCAACCACTCAAGGTGGAGGCAAACGTGCCAGGCTGCGTGAGGGACCGGGAGCAGCCCTGCCTCTTCTCTTGCAGGAGGAAATGAGAATGGATCTATACTTAGGTACTTCATCATTCCTTAAACTCACCATCTGTACCTGACATATTTTGTTCTGTCTCACCTAAAGTCTTATCAGACTTCCTACCTGATCGCTCTCATTGCGACTGATTTTGCCATCCAAATGTCTGATTTTTCACAGCTAGAGAAACCAAGAGATAGGAAGACAAGGGCCATGAACTAAGAAGGGGAACTCCTCTCCTGAGAATCATTGACCCTCTATCAGCTACATGTCCTAAGAATCTCTTTAACTTCTGCTTCATCTTCTGCCATTTCTAATAGCTTCCCCGCCACCTCAGCCTTCTCTCCCCAGTTTCCTATTCCATGCCACTGGCTTGTAACATCTAACTCCTAGTTTTCAGATGATCCTAAACTGCTGCTGTTAATGGCAACGCTTCATGACATCCTCACCACCAGAGGGAAAAGGGTCTCATGCTGTTCTTTCTCTTGGGGTATATGGTGACCCCAGCTGAAATTTCTTGGCCCCTAAATTTCACTAGGCTCCCCTGGGGCCCTGTGGTGCAGTGTGTTTGAAGACTGTCATGTAGTGCATGTGACAATTTGCTAATAACAATTTTGTCTTTTTTTTCCCTCCCTCATCCCCATTTCCCCCCACTCCCTTTCCTTTTAACTCTTTTGATTTTCTCACCTCTGGGGAAACCACAAGGAGCTGGTAAGAAGCCTGACCTTTCATCTGCTTTTTAACGGGGTGTGCTATGATGAGCAGTTGTTTCTCTGTCCTTTAGATTCTACTAAATCTTTCGTTCCTCTATTCAGTCCCACACACAGCCTTTTCCTATCTCACAAGTCACTGTGATTATACTGCCCCCAACTCATGCCCCAGATCTTCAAGATACTGCTGGAGTAGGTGCTACTGGAGGACTAGAGTGTGCCCCCGGGCCACAGCCTTGGAGAGGCTCCAGAGGATGCCAGCGCCAGGTAGCCCAACTGGCCCAGGACACTCTCCCACAGCAGGAATGAAAATGCTGTCTGTCCCTGTGACTGTCCAGAACCTCTGAGACTCACCGTCTGTGTGTTGACCCTCTTTTACTCCCTGCTTTCACTACTTAGGAACATAAATAAGAAAGTAGGCTCCCATCTGCATAGTGCCCGCCCATAATAAGGGCTTAACAAATGGTAGCTATGATTAATTTTTTTCCTGGGTCTGTAGGTTATGCCTCCCATTCCTCTTTTTTAAGAGGATTAAACAAAAGAGGATGGGTGGGATTGGCCTGGATTGGAGCTTTCACAGGGAGAAGTGGCATGTTCCTGAGTATGAACTTCAGAGAAGATGGTCATCTATCCTTAGCCTGAGCTCTTCTCAGTTGATAAGAGGCCAGAGACCACACAGCTATTAGATGGGTGGGTGTTCTGGCCGTAACATTTCAGAACAGGTTAAAAAGATAATCATTTGGGACTCAAATGTCTCTTCCCCTGGGCACTGGCATATGGGACATTGAGTCCTTTTTTTTCACTTGATGTATAGCTCGTGCCCCTTTGCCCAGTAATTCCCTGAGGAAGAGGTAAAGATCAAAGTTGATAATTTGTCCTTTCCCCCTTCTTCCCTTATTTTTAAAGCTGCCACCCACACGGATTCCTGCTCTGACTAATAGAGCAGAAACGAAGGAAGGAGCTTCCTTCTATCTGCTTTTCTTTCTCAATGATGTCCCACCATGTCCCCCTCACACCCTCTCCCCACATACCTACACAGAGGCAGAGGTTCTCAGTCCTGGCTGTAGGTTAGAATCACCTGGACATCTGGCCCTACCCCAGATTAGAATCTCTAGAAGTGGGCCCAGGCCTTTTTCTTTTTTTTTTTTTTTTTTTTTTCTCTCTTTTTTTTTTTTTTTTTTTTTTTTTTTTTTTTTTTGGAGACAGGGTCTCACTCTGTTGCCCAGGCTGGAGTGCAGTGGCATGATCTCTGCTCACTGCAACCTCCACCTGCCAGGCTCAAGTGACCCTTCCACCTCAGCCTCCTGAGTAGCTGGGTCCACAGGCATGTGCCACAATACCCAGCTATTTTGTATTTTTTATAGAGATGGGATTTCCCTCTGTTGCCCAGGCTGGTCTTGAACTCCTGAGATCCACCTGCCTTGGCCGAACTTTGGGAAGCCAAGGCGGGTGGATCACTTGGACCCGAATTCCAAATGATCCACCTACCTCGGCCTCCCAAAGTGCTGGGACTACAGACAGGCTTGAGCCGCCATTGCCTGGCTGTCTCTTTAAAAAAAAAAAAAAATTTCTAAGTGATTCTAACATGCAACCTGGGGTGAGAACCATTGTTCTAGGTGAAAGAAGGAAGGCTCATTTTGCCTTCCTCCTGTAGATGGTGGAAATGTCATCCCCAACAGAAAAGGACTTCTGGGTCTCCCTTCTACTTCCATCAGTACTCTGTTGGGAGCTGTCAGGCTTCTGACAATTGAAAAAGGGGCATGCAGTCAGGAGTGCTTGGTGCAGTCTTGCTGTTGTCACTGGAATCTGAACAGCATGTAGATACCTAGTAAGGAGGGAACCTCTCTGCTTCAGTTTCTAGGGTGAAGTCTCTTTTACCACCTACTGTGTCCCCTGTTTTTGGAAGAACTTCAGTGCTAAAAGCACAGCAGAGGAGTCAGGGAGAAAAATCAGGTGCTGCAGCATCTCTGAAGAGATGCTGGCCTGTCTCCATTTCAGAGCTTACATGTGGCTCTTGCCCATGGATACTTTTGGCAAGCAGATATTGCCTATGTTAGTTGCTTCTGAGATGTCCCATAAAGATAATCCAGTAAGCCCTTGCCCCTTCTCCCTATCCCTGAATTTGCTGGCCTCATGGCAGCCTGGAAATCAGGCTTCTGGTCAGGCCCTCTGTTGGCCTTCTTTTTGTACTAAGAGCTTGTGTCTTACCTTCAGCAGGTTTAAAGTCCTAACATTCACACTCAGGGTTAGTGGCTTGATTATCTGCCTTCCCTCCTCTTTCCTTCTAGGAAGGATAGGAGGTTAGCATTAAAATGAACTTGCTCAGCGGGCAAGGAGATTTACTTTTGGGAGGGGGAGGTTAAAAGAGGTCAGGTTGGTTTCTTGCCTTGAGTGCATGGTGTGTGCCAGACAACTGGGAGGGGTAGGGTGGGGGGATGGGAAGGCTTATGTACAGAGAGGGTGGGGAGGTTATTCTCCCTCTGTTCCCGGTTGAATGAGGGTGTTAATATTTATACAACTGAGGCTCCAAATTTACCAGGAAGCTTCAGTTTCCTAGGTTGAGCCTGGGTAGGCACCTTGGAATAGAGCCACCCTTCTTTCCCCTTGGACAAGTAGGGCCCAGTCACCTAATGGTTTGGGGATTTTGTGGGGTAGAGTAAGTTCTAGAGTGGGAATGAGTCTATCTGTGTCCTAAACTCCCTGTTCTTGCAGGAGGAGCTGACAAGCACAAGTGTGGAACACATCATTGTCAATCCTAATGCTGCCTATGACAAGTTCAAGGACAAGAGAGTGGGGACAAAGGGACTTGGTGAGACTGGACTGGAAGTTGGGTGGGGGGAAGACTGGAGGGTAAGCATGAGAAGTAGTTTCCTGTCCTAAGGTCTTAGTGACTTGTGCTCGGGGGAAGGGGTCCCTCATGGAGATCTTTTATGGAAGCCCGGACAGTCACCTAAGACCACGACTGCCTTGGGCCTAGATCAGGTCTTCAGTTCCATCTTCTTTTCTTGGCAGATTTCTCAGATCGTATTGGAAAAACCAAGAGGACAGGATATGAATCTGGAGAATATGAGATGGTTTGTTGTGTGTGTGTGTTGATGGGAATGGTGTAGTGACCCTATCTAGCAGACATGTAGTAGGGAGATCAAGGGATACAGGTGGGATTCTGTTTCTCCTCTGTTCCTGAGGAAGCAGCAGGATGCAGCCAGGGAACCTCTTCCCCACTGCTGTTTGTTCTGGAGAGCCTCCAGCCCTCTGGCTATCCTCAGTTCTCTGGTACTAGGGTGTTGTGGATTCTCAATTGGATATGATACCTTTATGACTTAGGCCCAGGGTGTGGATGAATTCTTGAGGCTCCCTATAATGAGATGTATAACATTACCCTCTGTGCTTGCTCTCTAGCTTGGAGAGGGTCTGGGAGTGAAGGAGACACCCCAGCAAAAGTACCAGCGTCTACTGCATGAGGTCCAAGAGCTGACAACTGAAGTTGAAAAAATCAAGGTAACTACAAACTCTCTTCTCCCCTCTTTGTTGTGACTTACACAGTAGAGGAAGACCTCAAGCAAGAAGAGAAAGATTCCCTGCCTGGCCGGGCACGGTGGTCACGCCTGTAATCCTGCCACTTTGGGAGGCCAAGGCGGGCAGATCACCTGCGGTAAGGAGTTCAGGACCAGCCAGGTCAACATGATGAAACCCCATCTGTACTAAAAAATACAAAAAATTAGCCAGGCGTGGCGGCGCATGCCTGTAGTCCCAGCTACTCGGGAGGCTAAGGCAGGAGAATTGCTTGAACTCAGGAGGCGGAGGTTTCAGTGAGCTGAGATCATGCCACTGCACTCCAACCTGGGCGACAGAGCAATACTCCATCTCGAAAAACAAAAGAAAGATAGAAAGATTCCTTAAACTCATTGATAAAGGGGCTAAGGTTTCCAGAGTTTAGAAATATGCATCCATCTGTATGCAGTGCAACATACAGGTGGGCAGTCTGTCACGCTAAAAACCATCCCAGTGACCTCCAGCTACAACTACCTGTAAAGGGCTTGACCTGTTTTTTTGCTTTTTGATTCATTCTTGCCATCCCCCGATTCTACCTTTTTTCACACTAGACGACAGTGAAGGAGTCAGCCACAGAGGAGAAGCTGACCCCTGTCGTGCTGGCTAAACAGCTGGCAGCCCTGAAGCAGCAGCTGGTTGCTTCCCACCTGGAGAAGCTGCTGGGACCAGATGCTGCAATCAACCTTACCGACCCTGATGGCGCCCTGGCTAAGTGGGTACCCTACTTTGTTGAAAAATCATTGCTGATTGGGGTTGTGGATGGACTCAGCCAGCTACTGACAGGGGTGCTAAGTGGCAGAGAAGTGGCCTAGATGTTTCTTAATGCTGATTATGAGCCAAAAGTGAGGGAGAGTGACTGACCCTCCTCCTTCCAGTCATGATATTATTACTCGGTCTCCTAACTAGGCGCCTACTGCTGCAGCTGGAAGCAACGAAGAACAGCAAAGGTGGCTCAGGGGGAAAAACCACTGGGACCCCCCCAGATAGCAGCCTTGTCACTTATGAACTACACTCTCGGCCTGAGCAGGACAAGTTCTCTCAAGCTGCCAAAGTAAGTGTGGATACAGCGTTGGTTGGAAAGCCAAGGGGAGACGTGGCCCTAGAGATTTTCCTGTCTCTCTCCAAGGAGAGGGTGCTGGGAAGGCTTCTGATTCCTCTGATTCCTCTTGATTCCTCTTCTGATTCCTCTTGATTCCTCTTCTGATTCCTCATTCTGTATGTTTCTTTCTTTTCTTTTTTTTTTTTTCCGAGACACAGTCTTGCTCTGTTGCCCAGACTGGTGTGCAGTGGTGCTATCTCAGCTCACTGCAAGCTCCGCCTCCCGGGTTCACACCATTCTCCTGCCTCAGCCTCCCGAGTAGCTGGGACTACAGGCGCCCACCACCATGCTGGGTTAATTTTTTGTATTTTTAGTGGAGATGGGGTTTCACCGTGTTAGCCAGGATGGTCTCGATCTCCTGACCTCGTGATCCGCCCACCTCGGCCTCCCAAAGTGGTGGGATTACAGGCGTGAGCCGCTTTACCTGGCCTCATTCTCTATGTTTCCCTTGCCCATCTACCTTCGGTTAAGATTTTAAGATTGTCGCTAGGTATGTGTTCCAGGGAAAGGAGTTCCTTGGGGTGGCAAGTGGCACGCAGAGTAGAACAGCATCGTATTCCTCCCACTGCAGCAGCAGGGAAGCAGACGGCAAATCTCACCTCCTTCCTCCCACTAGGTCGCAGAACTTGAAAAGCGCCTGACAGAGCTGGAGGCAGCTGTACGTTGTGATCAGGATGCTCAGGTCAGGTGTTCTCCTGTACATAATCTGAGCCTTAGATCCTGCAACTCTAGGCCTTAAGGTCTACGACATTCCACATAAGCCTGGGAGGAGTCATCAAAGGGCTTCAGTTACAGGGATCAGCTAGTGGGTTCCCAGCTAGAACCAGGAAAGATGGGAGAAGATGATAATCATGGATATATAAGGACCACTGACTTCTTCCTTCCCTTTCCCACCAGAATCCCCTTTCTGCAGGTCTACAGGGAGCCTGTCTCATGGTGAGTTTGGAAGAAACTGGAGTGTTTGGATTACAGAGGGGATAATTGGGATTGGGTTTGCTTTGAGGATTATTTTTGAGTTTGTAGCTATGTATTTAGTGGAATATGGGAGGCCTCTTCCTAGTCTGATCCTTTCCTCTTCATGATGCTTGTCCCAACTCTCATCCCCAGGAGACTGTAGAGCTGTTGCAAGCAAAGGTCAGCGCCCTGGACCTTGCAGTTTTGGATCAAGTAGAGGCTCGGCTACAGGTATTAAATGGAGGGAAATTTAAATTATGGATAGCTTGGGACTTTGGAAGCCCTGGATGCCCTATCAACCTTAAAATCTGTGTTTTCAGAGTGTCCTGGGAAAGGTGAACGAGATTGCCAAGCATAAAGCCTCTGTGGAAGATGCAGATACACAAAGCAAGGTCAGGAAGACACCTTTCCTATCTCCTTTCCATTCCCTCAGGTTCTCCGAGTGGCAGTGTCAAATCATGAGAACACACTGACTCCTCAGGTCCCCATCTTCATAAGCTCTTATCAGCTGGCAATGTCAGGGCAGTGCTTCCCTCTGCCCACTTGATCCTTTTCCCCACTATGGTGAAGTAGCAGTCTGTGCTTACTGACCTGGCTGCCTCAGCCATCCCCTGTGGGCCCTATTGTGTCCCTTCAGGTGCACCAGCTATATGAAACTATACAGCGCTGGAGCCCCATTGCCTCCACCCTCCCTGAGCTGGTGCAGAGACTTGTCACCATCAAGCAGCTACACGAGCAAGGTGGGAGGCCAGCTGCGAGGAGTGCTAAGAGAAGTTGAAAAATGGGCAACTTTTGGTCCCCTCCCTCGTCTTGGATTCTAGTCTCAACCATACTTTTCTTTCTTTTGTAGCCATGCAGTTTGGTCAGCTCCTGACACACTTGGATACCACCCAGCAGATGATTGCTAATTCCCTGAAGGACAATACCACCCTCTTGACCCAGGTGTGTGCCCCTTTGTTGATCTGCCTCCTTTTTCTAGCATGTACAGACTAGGTTCTCTAGTGTTACAGGGTTCTGCCGTAGCCTATTTTGTAGCATGGTGTTGTGGCAGGGGGTTGGTCTGGAGTCTCCATCCTGTTTTCAATGTGAAGGCCCTTCGACAACTTATTTAACCTATGAACCTCCATCTTTCCATTTGGGAAATTATACCTCCCTCAGAGTTATGTAGATGAGGTGAAATAATATAGGCAAATTGTTAGGGGCTAGTGAACATGTTTTCTTATAAAACCCCACTCTTTCCCTCTGTCGTCTCAGCTTTACTCTCCCTGATAAGCACAGTACACTGGAAGGAATCTGGGCTTTGAAGTTAGAAGTCAGGCCCTAAACTGGTTCTGTTGCTTCCTTTCTGACCCTGGACAATGAGCCTCACCTAGTTCCTTCACTCTTTTAGTAATGCCTGGCACACAGTAAGTCCACAATTTCTTTTTATTATTTTATTTTTTATTTTTAAGATAAGAGTTTCGCTCTGTTGCCCAGGCTGGAGTGCAGTGGCGTGATCTCAGCTCACTGCAGCCTCCACCTCCCAGGCTCAAGCGATTCTCCTGACTCAGCCTATTGAGTAGCTGGGATTACAGGCACACGCCACCACACCTAATTTTTGTTTTTTTTTTAGTAGAGATGGGGTTTCACCATGTTGTCCAGGGTGGTCTCAAACTCCTGACCTCAAGTGATCCACCCCCCTCGGCCTCCCAAAGTGCTGGGATTATAGGTGTGAGCCACTGCACCTGGCCGCAAGTCCACAACTTCTGTTGGAGGCACTATTCTCAGTGCTGGAAGGAGCATTAAAGTCGAGAGACCAGCATCAATCACAGGATCACTGAGATAAATGAAAAAATATATAAAGGACTTAGAATAACATCCTCTTCCTCCAGAGCAGTTTTCTAACATTTTGAACTAGTGAAATGCTCATTTCAACAAAATCTTATTTAGCTCTCATTGCATAAAACAGATTTTAAAAAACTGTTCTGGTTGAAGTCAGGATGGGAATTCTCAAGAGTCTTGCCTGCTTGGCACACCTAGAGCTTGGTCTGTGGTACTCTTAAGGGTAGCTTGAAAATTGGTGCTATACACATCCCCCCTCTGTGGCCCACAAACTGCTTCCATTTCTTGTCTTCTCTCGGAGAATTCCTTCAGGTCCTCATCCAGTTAAGCATCTGGACCTGACAAAGAGTAAAACCTCTCTACCACTTTGTAGGTGCAGACAACCATGCGTGAAAACCTGGCCACAGTTGAGGGGAACTTTGCCAGCATTGATGAACGGATGAAGCAGCTGGGAAAGTGAGCACATTTGGGAGCTGGAGAACAGGGGTAATCCCTACCCCTGTGAACTGTTAACAGCTTACATAGGGTTTCCCCTTTACTATAACTCTAGCATCCCCATCCCATTTGACACTGGGGGCAAGGGTTCTTCTTGCATGTGGGGTTTACACCCCTCCCCTGATGAATAGAGTGGTAGCTAGGGGTTGGTTATTAGAAGGTGGTCTCCCCTCAGGCCTGGGGGATAAGGACGTGGGCCCAGCCACATGCCAGCTCATGTCCAATACTGCTTTGCCTGGTGTGGGGAAGGATTGGGTCTTGTCCTCCAACACAGCTTCTGTGGCTGACTCTAATACTGTACAACTGTTTCTGACCATTAAATGCTGTTGTACTCTGTGTGGCCTCTGCTGTGTTTCCTGGGGAGGAAGCAGCACTAGGACATAGGCATTCATCATAACAGGTAGTCTAAGCCACTCTATACTACAACAGATGGATTTAAATTGTAACCTGTTCTTACCAAAGAACTAAATAAAAAATGAGTACAGAGCCAGAGCCAGAGGTTCAAAATATTCTCATCTGTTAAATTAAGAGTGTCTCCCATAGAAAAGCAGTGGAGGCCCCATAGGGCAAGTACAAAACAGAATTAAAACTCCCAAGGGTCTTGTCTTTACAAAAGAAAAGGCAGGAGGCAGCCCCTGGACAGCTGGTCATGCTGGCCGCTCCGGTTGGACCACGTTGCATAATCCTCAGTCGCATCATCACAACGTCTCTGAGCGTTTTGATGGGGGGAGAAGGGGCAGTGTAGTGTGTATGGGAGGAGAGGCCCAGAGGGCTCTCTTTGCCCCCTTACCCCCTTTTTTATATCCCAGAGGAAAGTGGGGGGAACCTGGCTACACCTTGAAATGAGGCTATGTGTTTCAAACCTGGGGACAGGGGTAAGAGGGGATCTGTGCTTTGAGCAACCTGAGCCAGAGGCAGAGGGGTGTTGGAGGGGTAAGGGGAGGATGCATGATGCTTATTGCTTTGTACCTTTCACTGGGAAGGAGGGCAGCAGCCAACAGTAGCTCACAGGTTTGTAAACTGAGCCTGTTGGCTTTAAGAAGGGAGGCAATGAAATCGAATTAAATATAAAAGAGTCATTTGTGCAAAAATAACTTAAACAAATAAAAGACCTGGGGAAGGGGGTGTTCCCCTTAGCGCCTGGTGGGGAAAGGGCCATATACCATCCCCCCCCAGGCCTTTTCAGTGACATGGCTTGGGGGGGAGGGGGTGAACTTCCCTGCCCCCTGCAATGGCTCAGGATGGGATTGTAGGGAAGGAGTTGCATTTGTGCTCTGAGTGGGGAGTAGTGCCCCCACCCACTGTCCACAGGTGCAGGTGGCTGGCAGGGGCTCCCAAGGCTCAGCACTCAGCTCTCCCCAATCAGGGTTAGATCCAGCTCCAGGTATGGCTGCTATGGGGCCAGTTTCCTCCTCTTGTTTTTGGCAGGACGGCCAGGGCGGGCCCGGGGAGGCAGAGGGACAGCCGCCTAATACCAGAGGAGAAGTTGAAAGAAGTGGTCAATTGCTAGGTATCAGGAAGTCATCTTTTCTCCCCACTCCCGCTAACCCTCCTTTACTCCTGCTGCCTCATCGCTTACACCCTACCCATACACCCACCCACCCAAACACACACTTACTCGGGCTGTAGGGCTGGGTTCCAAGGTAATGTCCTGGCGGGAGCTATTGCTGTTCCGCGTAGGGCTGCAATAAGGGGCACAGATGATCAGCAACAGCTCCCAAGCACCAGGTGAATTTCAGAAGTTTGGGTGGGAAACTTTTTACATTTGGATAGTAAAGGCATAATATCCTTACTCATATTCAAATAAGTATCTGCCCCTTTGAAAACCAAGCCACTATTTGGACATTAGAACTGTCCAAACCAAAAAGAAGTAGGCAAAGGCCAGCACTATAGTAGGCCCATCACTCACTTGTATTTTCTCCTACGGCCACGACGAGACTTTCTGACTACTCCCGGGGGCACCTGAGAAAAGATGGACTGTGTGTGTGGGAAATTTCGAAAAAGGTACCACAGCCCCAGCCTTTCCTCAGAGCCCCTGAGCCCAGACTGCCAGCACTCTGCACTCACCTTAAGGTCCTCAGAATGGGGCCCAGGAGGGGGTGGATCCTTGGGCTCAGCACCCCCTTCAGCCAGCTCCCCATTATGCTGCCAGTGGTGGGTTCTTCTTGGGGACCTTTCCATTTGTCCATTGAAGCCACCACGTGTCCCCCATTTGAGGGCCAGTCGGCCAGGCTCCCGCCGGCTGCCAGGCTTTCGGCCCCGGGCTGGCCTGGCCTCACCATTAATGCCCCTAAGTCCCCCTCCTCCCCTCCGGCCCCGTTTCCCTGACCCCCTCCCAGTGAGCAGCTCAGGGACTGGGGGGTCGGGAGAACCGTGGGGTGGGGCTAAGGCACTGAGGGGAGGCCGGGCAGGCTCTGGTTCGAGGGCTGAGGCGGGGCTCTCAGGGGGTAGACAGGGGGCTTCTGGCTGCTCTGGAGGGATCTGCTGGCAAAAAATAAGTTCTCAGTCAATCCCAAATACGGTCCCTCTTCTGCTATAACTCAGAAAGCCCTAAATTTCCAGTTTGAGAAAAAATTATCTCCCTAACAAACACATGCCCACACCCTCACCTGGAGACTCTGTAGCAGGCAGGCTAGGGGACTAGAAGCCTCTGAGAGGGGTGGAGGAGCTCCCCCCCCAGGGAGGAGCTGCAGCCCCAACTGGCCAGAGAGAAGAGGGCCAGGAGGCTGCAACAGGCCGGGGAGGGCTCCAGGGCTGCTGGTCAGCGAAGACAGGTCACCTGTTGGAAATTATAGTCAGGGGTCTCTCCCTAGGCAAACCAATTAGGCTGAGCAGACCCTATTATTCTCTTTAGGCTTAGCCAGTGGCCAAAGACTTTCTTCCCCAATTTATTCAGCCACTACTCCCAAGTTTTACGGCTGCTTTTTCACACCAAGAGTGTGAATTCACACTCCCTCAGACTCACCCAGCAGGCTGGCACCCAGCAGAGGGCTAAGGAGTTGGGGGGGTCTCCCTGAGTTGGAGGGGGCCTTGCCCAGAGAGGAGGCTCCCGGGTCAGTAGTTGCCGTGGTGACACTGGAGGTAGGTGGTCCAGGTTGGGGGGCACTCAGGACACAGGGCTAAGAAAAAAGAATGATTCTAACACGTGTGTAAAATAACAGATTTATAGTGCTTTCACATCCACTATCTGACTGAAGCCTCAAGTGAGATAAGCCATGCTTATCAAATACAGACCCAATTCTTGTAGTCATCCTACCCCCAGCCAAGAACTAAGGCCTCCCCAAAGGCCCCAAGGAAGAGCTCAGGAATGAAACTGAAAGCTTTTGATTCCCAGCTCCCATCTCTCATTCTACGTTGTGTTCTGTCCCAGCTACTCACCCCCATCCTCACCTGGGGGGGTGTCCCCGAGGGGGGATCCAGGCTGGCAGCCAGCAGCGCAGAATTTAAAGCTATGAGGGTAGGGGGGGCTGAAAGTGGGGGGAAAAGTAGGGGGGACAGGTCTCCCAAGCCTGAAAATGGCTCCCCACTTGGACCCCCGGCTCCCTCTGTAGATCCCTCCCCATCCCCAGCTGTGGGGCCCAGAGCCAACAGGGGCAGGAAAGAGGCAAGGAGGTTGTTGGGAGGTGCTGAAGGAGGTGGAAGAAGGTCTGAGGGTGGTGGAGGAAGCAAGGAAGCCACCAAAAGCGAAGGCCCTTCAGGCTCTCCTGGGGCTAGGGGAGGACCAGGTCCTCCTGGTGGGGGTAGCAGGGGCTCAGGAGGAGGCTGTCCTCCTCCCCCAGCCAGCACACCAAATAAACTGTGGTTGAGCAATGGAGAAGGTGGAGGCTGCCCTAGACTCAGAGGGAGAGGCAAGGCCCCAAGCATCCCAGGGAAGCCAGCTCCACTCAGTGCCAGGCCCTGCTCCGGGCTGGGGAAAGGGAAAGCCTCTCCACCAGCCAGGGGAGGCAGAGGGCAGGCCGGGCCCGCCCCCATCCCCAGCCCTTCGGATGGGCTTTGAAGCACAGGGCTGGGGACTACCGGGGCTTTGGAGGCAGCTGGTGGGGCAGGGGCACCTGTAAAAGAGGAGAGAAATTCAGCTCAAGGGAGGCCCTTTCTCCCAGCATCCAAAGAAGCCAACCTCCCTGCCCCCAACCCAGAAAACCCTCAAAGAGCTCTCTGAACATTCCCCTAAATGCCTTGGCTGCCTCTTTCCATCCAGGATGAGGAAGGGCTCCACAACACTCACATACCTGGCACACTGCTGAGGCTGCCACTGGTGGTCCCAGGCAGGGAGGACTGGATAGGGTGCCTGGGCTGGGGAGGGCTCCCTGAGGAGAGGGTTGGGGGAGGAGGAAGGTGTGCATCTGACCCCAAAAGGTTAAAGCTTCCATCAGAGTGGGAAGGGCCAGGGGTGGGGAGTCCCAGCAGGGACAGCACAGAAGGGAGAATTGGTTGGGATGGCTCTGGGAGAGAAAAGGGTTGGGGGACAGGAGCAGGGGCCCGAGGACGGCTCCGTCTAGGGGTTTGAGGGCCTCTCCCTTCTAGCAATCGAAATACAGTAGGGGGTCTGCGGGGACGACGCTGAGAGGGACGAAGTGATGAGGAGTGGGAAGCTGAGGGCACCGGGGCACGGGGCCTTCGGCCCTGTAAAGTGCTGGGAGGGGGTAGTGGGGGATGCTGTGCCTTGGCCGCTGCAGAGAGTAGGCTGCTAGCAAGGAAGGGGGGTGCCCCCGGCCCCTCCACCGTGGGGGCCCCTCCCAGGGGCCCCAAGACCAGGGGCAGGTGCATAGTGGCTGAAGACACTGGTGGCTGAGTGGCAGGACCAGGGTGGCCGGGGAGATTATTGCTCAGGGGCAGGGGAGGGGGTGTTAAGGCATCACTACAGTGGAAGAGAGGAGGGTCTGAAGGTGGTGAGGAGGAGGCATGAGGGGCCGGAGGAGAGCCCAGGTCAGAGGGCACCAGGCTGGATCTGAGGGCAGCTCCCCAGTTGTATGAGGGAGCATTGAGGCTGATAGCAGGTGGAGGAGGTGGGGCTGGAGAGGGGGCATTGCCCCTTGGGAGGAAACGGGGGCTGCTACTGCCCCCAGAAGGGACTGGGTCAGGAAGCCTTGGTGGGAAAAGCCCCCCAGGGCCTGCTAGAGTGGGGAAAGCCTGGGAAGCTGAGGGTGGTTCTGGGAGAAGGGAGCCAGGACCCCCATTAAGTGGAGTTGTAGGAGGAACTCGACAGGGAGGGCGGGCAGAGGGGGGCCCTGGGGACACAGTGTGGAACATTTGGGGGCTCGCTCCCTCTCCTGCAATAAATGAAAAATGAAGGGTCAGCCTGTGGCTCCCCTTCCAAAAACTTTGTCTTCTCTAGTCCCATCTCCCACAAGTTCCCAACCTCCCTGTGCCCTCCTCTCACCACGTAGCTCCCCACCCACTCCCCTTTCTCTTTGCTCCCTCTCATGGAACTCCTCCCACCACCAGCCTTCCAAGCCCTTAGGTTTTCCTCCGTCTTCTGTAAAGTGGCAGAAGACTCACCAGGAGAAGAGTGTGAGCAGGTGGTCTCCATGCTGCGGTACAGAGTTGCCATAGCAACAGCTTTCCGCCGGTGGTTGCACAGCTTGGTCATGTCCTCCTCTGATGCTGGCCCCACCCCAGCCCCACCCAGGGTCACCGGGGCCAAAGGGTCAAAGTTGAAAACCTGTAAGGTGGAAAGCAAGGACAGGGACCCTGAGGGGCTGGAATCTATGGAAAGGGCTACCTCAGTCAGTGATTTGCATTAAGACTTTTAGCTTATCTCTGTACTCTCAGGCACCCCTCACCACTCTGACCTTGGGGACATTAAGTGGACACTCCAGACCGCACTTGCAGGTCCCATCGCTGAGGAGGTAGCTCCGGGTTTGCTCCAAGGAAGACAGCTCTGTGCCACTTGGACTGGAAGAGGACAGGGTCAGAGGACATGGGGTTAGCTGGCAGTGAATCAGGCAATACTCCTAAAGCACAGTGCTTAAGTTACAGATCCTCCTAGAAGAACAGAGAGTAAGGAATGTGGGAAGACACAGAAAGAGGGAGAATGGATTCAAAGGCCAAGAGCTACAGAAAGCAAAAAGGCTGAGGAAGGAAGGGGAAGAGAGGAGAGCAATCGGGTACCAGAGAGCTGAGCTGAGAGGAGAAGTGGAAGAAAGAAAACCCGGGCAACTGGAGTGGCAGAGCTTGGGGACCTGGGAAGATCCGTACCTGATGTAGAGCACAGCACCCTCTCGCACACAGCGCTGCCAGCCGATGGGGACAGATGTGGCCACAGGGCCCCCAGCTCTGTCTGCTCCACTGCTCTCATTGCCCCCATTCATTGTGTGTAATCAGCTCCCGCGTGCCTGATAACACAGACATCCATGTAGGCACTAGGAGGATTAAACTGGGCGAGGTACCTGAGGGAGGACTCCAGGAAGGCAAAGGTTGTGGGGAGACCCAAGAAAACTCAAGAGAAAGCCCCAGAGCAGCAAGGGGAACCCCTCAGAGAGCTGGGAGGGAGAATGAGTCCTCCTCTGCCGTATCACCACAGCTACCTGAACATCTCTGCAAACATTGTGGGGTCCAGTCTAAAGCCGGGGCCACCAGCTTAGCCCACACCTGCAACGCAAAGTAGAGAGATGGGACTATCAGGAGTCTGCCCAACTCTGAAGAGCACCACAGCCCAGCACCCTCTCAAGAGAAAGATCCTTACATCCTCTCAAGAGAAAAATCCTTAACAATGTGAGGCAAGCGCCTATAAAGACCTCGGGGATCTGCTGGCTTAGTCTACAACCATCCTTTCCAAGCCCAGTCCCTAGGGACCAGAGGATCAGAACCTCAGCTCCCTGGGACCAAGAAAGTCTAGCACAATTCTTAGGCATATGAAGGGCAAGGCCTCCGTCCATTCGGAATTGAAGACTTCAACCAGGAGTATGGGCACATTCCCATAATGCTAGGCCACTAGGAAGTTTCCCAGAGTGTCTGGCTCCTGTCGTTCCCTACCCAGGAAGATGATATAAAAAGTACAGATTGCCCCACAGGTCACCAGGCAATTGCCCAACTGCCCGCTGGGGTGGTACCAGCAGAACTCCCCCCATGCCTGCTCCATCACACAATCGCTGATCTAGTTCATTCGGGTCTTAAAAGGTGAAGATCACAGCTCAGTCTTTTCCCAGGATCCTGAGAAGCTCCTGATTTTCCCTCAAGCCTAAGGCAAAGAGATTCAGAACCTCCTATCCCACTGACTCCGAGAGCCTGTCCTCCGATATCTCCAAGAGAGCCTATCCTCCGATAGGAGGGGAAGCCCCTCCAACCTGCAGGTATCCTCCCCAGACTCACCATTTCTCCCACCCCACACTGGTGGCTTCCAAACTTTCCCTCTCATAACAAGGCGCCCTGTCACCCAGACTGCTTCCCTCGGCTTGAGGAGGAGGGGAAGGCGCACGAAGTAGGAAGGAACTTGGGGAGAGGGCGGGCGGAGGGTGGGCGAAGCACTGAGGGGAGGGCGGTGAAGAAGGCAGAAGTCAGGCAGTGAGAGGGAGAAGCGGCGGGGGCAGGTGAGGGCGGGGGAGTGGGGATGGGGCCGGGGAAAGGGGCCGAGAGGACGCGGAGGGGGCAGAGGTAGGGACAGGAGGGGAGGGGAGGGGGAGGGGCGGGGTGGGGGGGCCGGGCCCCGCACTCACCGCGGCCCATGGTTCGGCCGGCCCCGCCCTGCGCAGTCGCGGCCCAGAGAGTGAGTGGGAGGGGGTGGGAGGAGGGTCGGTGGAGCCCGAGCCTCCGGTACGGCCCCGGCCGGTCCTAGCAGGAAGCGCCGCTGCCGCCGCCGCGGATCACCGAGCGGCCTCCCGCGCATGCGCCATGGGGGCCAGGGGCAGCCCTGGGGATTCCGTTCCCAGAAGGCACTGCGCAGGCTGCTGCCGCTGCCGCCGCCGCCGCCGTCGCTGCCGCAGCCACCGCCGCAGCCACCGCCGCCTCCGCCGCTGCCCGGACGGGAGAGGGGCGGGGCCGGGCCCCCGCCCAGCGGACAGCGACGAGCCAACTGGAGGGGCCGCAGTGCGCATGCGGGAGCGCGCCTACCCCTCCCCCACAACCCCCCATTAATCCCCAAGAGAACAAACACCCCACGCGGCCCCCCTCCCTCCGCGGAAGGATCTGCGCCTCTTCCCAGGCCACTGGTGGCCAATCCCAGCCCTCCTCGGGGAGGGGCCCCTTCCAAAGCCACAGTCTGTTGCGGGAGCCAGGAATGCCAGGTCCGGGAGGGGCCAGGCCCGAAAGATGAAAGTCGCGACTTGCCCTGCCCCGCCCCAAAGGCTTCCCGGGTAGTGTGCTGGGACTTGACCCGCCTCTCCAGGTCAACATGTCACAACACGACCTCGGCCTGTCAAGTCACATGACCTCTGCCTGTCATTGACAACCTGGTCTGTCTTTAGGCCAGGAGAGACCATCTGGTCCACCCCCCACACCACCCCCATTTTCAGAGGGGAAATGGAGGTGTGGAGCAACGGAGCAGCCTAACCAAAGACCTGTCACAGACACACCACTCCAGTCACAACCGGCCTTGTGACAGTTTCTACTTAAACTCTGGCTTGCCCCCATGAGGGTATGACAGGATATGTAACAGGCCACCACATGGCCTCTGTTTTCAAGGCACAAGAAAAATACTTTGCATTCTGCGTGGTGCGTTTTACTTTTGTTCAAGTTGCCTCCAAGTTCATGGTTCTCATTTTACCCTTACAACTCTTTAATTTACAAACAAGGACGGTAAGATCCCTTGGTAAGTGAGGGGGAGTTGAGGCTAAAATCGCGGCTCCGGTCTCCCCAGTCCAGGGCGGTCCTGCGCTGAAGTGCACTTACACGTCCCAGGATGAGACTCCGCTGTAAATCTCGACCCGAACACCTAGGAGGCAGGCCTGTGCCGCGCTCCTCACAGCAGGGAGTCACAGGACTTGCTGTCTGGTACAGCAAGAGAGGGTCTTGATATTGGAGAAAGCCGTAAGAGCACAGTGGGGGAAAATAGGTGGCCAAACAGAATCGGGTCCACTGAGTAAAATACATGACTTCTGGCAGGCTGAGGGCTTAGCAACTCCAAGGTAAAAGTCAAGGGCGCTGTTGTGAGAGAAGCGGAAAATGACTACCAAGGGATTCCAGTTCCTCGGCCCCTTTTGGGAGATTTACGGGGCTAGACCACCCCGGTTTTTTTATTTGTTTTTCGTTTTCGGTGAAACGTAGTCTCGCTCTGTCACCCAGGCTGGAGTGCAGTGGCGCGATCTCGGTCACTGCAACATACGCCTCCAGGGTTCAAGTGATTCTCCTGCCTCAGCCTCCAGAGTAGCTGGGATTACAGGCGCGCATCACCACACCCGGCTAATTTTTGTATTTTTAGTAGAGATGGGGTTTCACCATGTTGGTCAGGCTGATCTGGAACTCCTGACCTCAAGTGATCCGCTCTCCTCAGCCTCCCAAAGTGCTGGGATTATAGGCATGAGTCACCGAGCCTGGAGACCTCTCTAAGAAGACTCGAGATGTCGACAATTCCAGTGGATGGATACCAACTTTCAAAGGAAAAGTTCAAAAGGCCTATATGACCATTAGCTGGGAGGGGCCAAGGAAAATGGGAGTCCCTTATAGTGGAGGTAAAACGGCGGCTAAAGCTAGGTGGGCGGAACAGCAGCTTCTGGGGGAGACAAGCGGCAAAGAGGCTCCACACAACCGACTACGGACGGCCAACGCTGATAGCCGTTGGGGCCGTTGGGCGCCGGGAGCTGGCGCCCCGCCCTCTCTCCTTTCCCCCACCCTCTGCACCTCCCACCACCCTCGTAGTCCCCTGCGCGTGCGCGTGCAGACACCGGTTGCCAAACATTGCATCATCCCCGCCCCCCTTTCCTCCCCTCCCCCCGCTACTCTCCCCTCCGCGCGCGCGCATGACTCACCCGCCGCCTCCGTGAAGCCTCGTGACCCAAAGCCACTTCCGGGTCCGACACTACGTCGACCCCCTAGCGAGAGGGAGCGACGGGGGCGGTTCTGCGGAGCTCCTGAGTGGCGGATACGAGGGACGAGGCGGGGCCAATGCCGGCGTGCCACTTTCTGATTGGTAGGTTTTGGGGTCCCGCCCCTGAGAGGAGGGCAAGGCCATGGTAAAAGATTACAGCTAGGCGCTCCCGAGGTCAGAGGCTTCAGTCTAAGGCACTGAGCGTATCATGTTGAAGATGAGCGGGTGGCAGCGACAGAGCCAAAATCAGAGCTGGAACCTGAGGAGAGAGGCGAGTACTGACTCCCATCTGCCCTTTACCCTCCCGTCTCCTCAGAGTTGGGGCGTCCGCTCTTTAGGATTGGCCTCACGCCTCCACAGTGAAGTCAGGGACCGTCCGAGAGAGGAATGGGGAGAGTCCCTTATTCTGGGGTGGTGCTTACAAACCCCCATTGCTTCGGACGACAGCGTCTCTCCACCCCTGCCCGGAGCCGGAGCATGGGCCCTGCTCTGTGCTGCTGGGCAAAGGGACCTCGGCTGCCCTAGGGAAATTCATTCTCTCCCGTAGCCAACTTCAGGCCACCTCGTTAGGCCTGTCCGGGGGGAGGCAGCAGGACACACCCCCGCTCTAAGACTGAGTTACCATCGCTCAAGCCGTTTCCGCCCGTTCGCCACCATCGGCCTTCTCCCTACCCTACCCCCAATCCTGTCTCAGTCTCAGTGTCTCTGGTGTCAGCATGGCCACCTCGGTAGCTGGGGCTACTGGACCCTGCAGGACTGAAAGGAGAACCTTGACACAAGCCTTTGGAAGGGGTGCCGATGGACAGGGAGCGGTGTGTTTTCCCTTTGCCGTAGAGGTCTCTGGGCCTCCCGCACAAGAGAGCAGCCTGGATCTCTTAAGTGTAGGAGGCCATTTGGGGTCTCCCCAGCGTATCGTCCTTCCCTCGGGATTAGTCCCTGCCTGTTTAACCCGGTCCTGTCTCCCAGCTAATCTCTGTGTAACCATTGCATCAGGCCAGCCCCCTGTTTGGCTCTGCAGCCTTCTGACCTGAGGCTCCACTGCTGATGAAAGCCAAGTCCCACACACTGGAAGGCAAGGGAGGGTTCCCCAGGGAGGACAGCCCTGCAGAGAAATATTTCGGGCAGTATTGCATCTCCAGTCCCTAGGGATCGGCAGCTGCCACTCCGCGTCTGCCCCTTCCCTGTAAGAGAGTTTGGGGGGAATTCATTCATTCTTAACAAATACTTAATGAGAACCTACTGTGTGCCAAACAGTTTGGGGCTCAGGGAACATCCGTGAGCAAGAGGAAAAAATCATCTCAGTGGGAGGCCTACAGTAAACAAAATATAAGTGCCATGGAGAAAGCTAAAGCAGAGAAAGTAATGGAGAATGTTCAGGATGGAGGTTACTGTGTTACATCAGGTGGTCAGGAATTACCTTAGGTAATTCCTCCTCTCAAAACCCTCCAATGACTTCCCTGACATGAAATAGGAAGTCATTGGAGAGTTTTGAGCAGAGGAATGACCTGTTTTAAAAGGTTCACTCAGGCTGCTGTATGGTGAATAGACTTACGGAGGGATGGCAAGAGAAGAAATGGGAAGACCTGCCATCAGGAAGTTTCTGCAGTAATTGAGAGATGGTGGTGAACTGATCTAGATTGGAAAGAATGGAATTAGAAGTGTTTAGATTCTTCTAAGCAAAGTTTTAAAAACTCATTTTTAAAGAATGAGTTAAGGGCCAGGCATGGTGGCTCATGCCTGTAATCCCAGCACTTTAGGAGACCAGAGGAGTGGATCACACGAAGTCAGGAGTTCAGGAGTTCAAGACCAGCCTGGCCAACATGGTGAAACCCCATCTTTACTAAAAATACAAAAATCAGCCAGGCATGGTAGTGCATGCCTGTAATCCCAGCTACTCAGGAGACTGAGGCAGGAGAATCGCTTGAACCCAGGAGGCAAAGGTTGCAGAGTGGAGATTGTGCCACTGCCCTCCAGCCTGGGCAAAAAGAGGGAGACCCGTCTCAAAAAAAAAAAAAAAAAAAGTTAAAATGTGCTAGTACTTTGGATTGCAGGGTGTGAGAGAAGAGGAATGAAGGATGATACCAAGGTTTTTAGCTTAAGCAACTAGAGTTGTCATCTGAGATGGGGATGACCTTGGAAGGGGAAAATCAACAAGTTTGCACATAGTCTTAGGTGCCTATTAGACATTGAAAAAGAAATGGCAAGTAGGCAGTAGACAGCAGAGTCGGAAGTTCTGGAAGAGGTCCAGACTGGAAATATACATTTGGAGGATGTCAGTGTGGGAATGGAGTTAGGAAAATGCTACGATTTGTTCCCTTCCCTATAGTTTAGTCTTTACCCTGGCAGGTTTAAGGCCTGCCTTGAATTTAGAGAAAGCTGAGTTGGCCAGAACTTTGCTATTATGTAACCAGGACTACAAATGTCAGCAACTAAAAATAAAGTCAGGCCCTACTCTGCCCTTGGAAATGGCTACAGGGACCAAGTATGCATACCCCACAAGACCAGAAGTAAGGACGGACCAGTAGGAGGCTGGAGATAAAAGAAAAATAAGGGCCCAGCATGGTGGCTCACGCCTATAATCCCAGCACTTTGGGAGGCGAGTGGATCACAAGGTCAAGAGATGGAGACCATCCTGGTCAACACAGTGAAACCCCATCTCTACTAAAAACACAAAAATTAGCTGGGCACGGTGGTACGCACCTGTAGTCCCAGCTACTTGGGAGGTTGAGGCAGAAGAATCGCTTGACCCTGGAGGCAGAGGTTGCAGTGAGCCGAGATTGCGCCACTGCACTCCAGCCTGGCAACAGAGCGAGACTCCGTCTCAAAAGAGAAGAAAAATAAGTTGCCTCTCCCCCTTCCAAAAATGGCTAACATTTCTCTTTGTTGCCTACAGTGTTCAAGAAGGAAGTGTATCTTCATACATCACCACACCTGAAAGCAGGTAAACTTAACCTACCCTTTCCCAAAACCAAGTCCTAAGAGATGCTGCTTAGCCTCCTTTTGCTGAGACCCTAAGAGATTATGAAAAGACCTAGAGAAGGTGGGAGAGGAGGGTTTGAATCTGAGCAAGCTTTTGCTATCAGGCTGTCTATTCTCCTGGCTTGCTCCTACAAGGTGAGCAAACCACTTTTCTTAAAGAATGTCCTAATGGAAAGATGGTCCTCAAAGAAAGCCCCAACAAAGACAACTGGTTTGCCTTACCAGTCTTCAGTCAGGGTTAAACTTTCACTAGTCTTCAGTCCCACTTGCGAACTCTATTGATAGTTTCCAGGAGCAATTACCAGGTCATTTGTGCTCCCTTCTCCTGTGTGGGGAGCTCAGGGAAATAGTCCTTCAGCTCAGCCTAACCTTGATGGGGACAGGAATTTGACTAGTCCTCCAGATCCCCTAAGCATGGATATCCAGGCACTTTGCTTCTTCAAGTCCTGGGCAAAAGCAAGGAGGGAATATTAATATAAACTAGGGGTTGATAAATTTTAAAGGGCAGGATAATAAATATTTTAGATGTTAAGAGCCCTATAGTCTCTAGCGTGACTCTTCATCTCTGCCACTGTAGCACCAAAGCAGCCATAAACAATATGTAAATAAACAGATGTGGCTGTATTCCAATACAACTTTACCTACAAAAACAGGCATCAGACCAGCTTGCCAACCTGTGGCGTAGACTGTTTGCTACATGGAGCTCGTTCCAGCCACTCCCCATTACCCTGCAAATGTGCTTTTCCAGACTGATCCAACTGCAGAGATGGCAGCTGAGTCATTGCCTTTCTCCTTCGGGACACTGTCCAGCTGGGAGCTGGAAGCCTGGTATGAGGACCTGCAAGAGGTCCTGTCTTCAGATGAAAATGGGGGTACCTATGTCTCACCTCCTGGAAATGAAGAGGTAAGAATGCTAGGCCTAAAGCTAAAGGGGGATGTTACCTTTTCCTTCTCAATTAATATCTACGTTCCCTTTCCTCATTTCCTTGAAGGAAGAATCAAAAACCTTTACCACTCTTGACCCTGCTTCACTGGCTTGGCTGACTGAGGAGGAGCCAGAACGAGCAGAGGTCACAAGCACCTCCCAGAGCCCTCGCTCTCCAGATTCCAGTCAGAGCTCCCTGGCTCAGGAGGAAGAGGAGGAAGACCAAGGGAGAACCAGGAAACGGAAACAGAGTGGCCATTCCCCAGCCCGGGCTGGAAAGCAGCGCATGAAGGAGAAAGAACAGGAGAATGAAAGGAAAGTGGCACAGCTAGCTGAAGAGAATGAACGGCTCAAGCAGGAAATCGAGCGCCTGACCAGGGAAGTAGAGGCGACTCGTCGAGCTCTGATCGACCGAATGGTGAATCTGCACCAAGCATGAACAATTGGGAGCATCAGTCTTCCACTCAGGCCACACTACCCACCTTTCCCAGAAGTGGCTACTGACCACCCTCTCACTAGTGCCAATGATGTGACCCTCAATCCCACATATTCACGGGGAAGGCTTGGAGTAGACAAAAGGAAAGGGTCTCAGCTTGTATATAGAGATTGTACATTTATTTATTACTGTCCCTCTCTATTAAAGTGACTTTCTATGAGCCAAGGTCTTTTACTTTTTCTTCTTGCCTTTAGGGGCTTCAGGGGGTTTCCCCTCAGCTACAGCCAACTGTTTCTTTAGATCCAAGAGTTTCACCACCTCCGCAGCAACATGGTTCTTGTCTGCCTTTTGTGCTTTCAGTTCTCGGACAATGTTGCCCTAAGATAAAGGGGGGTGGGAAGGGTAACAGTGAGGCAAGAAAAAGATCTATTTAGGATTGAGCTTGTCCAGTGTCCCACAGGGCTTAAGCTTCATACTTGTTTTGTCACTTCATCCATCAGCACTTGTATCTGCTGTGGCCCGGCTGTTGTAACAGTCTCTATAACTGCTGGCTTTGGGGATGTTTTTGCCTGGAGGACAACAACAAGTTAGCACCAGCAACCATAAATATCCCCTAACCTCCAGTTTTATACAGCATCTCAGAGGGAAAGTGATTACCTTTAAGTCGAAGGTCTCTTCTAGCTAAGACAGGAAAGAAAAACTAAGTGAGGAAGCAGCAGGGCCAAAAGATGGAAAGAGTGATGGGTGAGGACTACTTAGGGAAATTAGGGAAGTGATGCTGTGGCTGTTGTGGAGCGAGGGCACAGCCTTTAGCTTTTCTCACCTGGCCCCCTCCAAAGCGCTGCCTTAAACTTTCAATCTGGTCATTTTCCAATTTTTGGAACAAGGGACTGACCTGTAAAAAAAAAAGTTCCAGAAACATCTGCTGATTAGATACAGCCTCTCCCAGACTATACAGATGACCTCTCCAACCCCAATCTCTGATATATTTTAGAAAGAACGAGCATAACACTGAGCTAGTATCTGCTGATTTTAGGAAATCAGCAGTAGCTTTCCCTGTGAAACCCCAAATAATTTACAGGGACAAAGATTCTTTAAGCGCTCTAAGGATGCTAGGCTGATCCAGAAGTTTAGCGATATACTTACTTTTTCATTTTGTGTCAAAGAGGAAATGGCTATTTCCTCTTTTTCACTGCCCACTATCTGCTAGCATTGTGGAGACTAGGTGACCAGTGTTTCTTCAAATATCTGTCTACCAGTTAGTTGTGTGTGCCAGGTTCTGGTTTCTGGCATGAAGAACAATGAAGATGTACAGATAATTCTGAACTTGTGAATGACTACCAAGGACTTTATATCAGAAACTTGAGTCCCATGACCAAAGTAACACTGGAGAGATGTTAGGTCTTCTCTCACCCACTCCAAAAGCTGCATAGCAAAAGTGTCAATTTTAAGACAGGCTGGCTCTTCCACCTACTGTGCCAATCTGGTGTCCTGCTGGTAAGGTACACAGGAAGTTTGTCAGCAGGATACTGCAGGCTGGAGGTGGGAGCTGCAGCTGGGCCTGGATTGTGGCACTAACCGTGGGCATGTAAGGCTGAAGCATGACAGAGAGCAAGGCAGCTATATTCACTGCCAAGCCAGTCACTGTGCCTGCCCGTTGCCTGAGGAAGAAGAGATATTAGTCAAGACCTCCAGGAGGATACAGCTTACAAGCCACTTTATTCCTTTAGCCAACCCTCCCCGCTTACCTACCTGTCAGCCTCACTGCCTTTAATCCGCTTCCAGGGCTCATTCACCTGAATGTATTGGTTGCCATGTCGAGATATGGTGAGGATACTGCGCAAGGCATCCCGGATCCTGGGAAGGGAGGAAGCAGGCCAAGGTGTAATGTCCTACAGGGACCCATACAAGGCTCTCAACACACCAGCAGATGAGACAGAGATGTCAGTTACTTACCGAACCTTCTCAAGCAGCTGGTGATAGTGCTGGAGCTCCAGAGTGACATGGGCCAGCAGGCGCTGATCATCAGGGGTGAGCACCATCTCAGGCACATAGCCCCCAAAGAACTTAGACACAAACATCCCAGCTCTTGGTTGGGAGTAGGAAAGGAGAAGTGGAAAAAAGAGGGGAAGTTATTATCCAGTCTCCTCCTTAGAATTTGACCCCATTTCCACAACTGTACATTCTCTCAGGATTCCTGCCTAGAACAGGTAACTCCTGGCTCCCTTAAGCCAGTAGACGAGGCTTAACAAATGAATTATTTACTGTCTCTCCCCTAAGAATCTGACTCTGCACCTAAAAAAACCTGATTAAGTTAAACAACTCTATTTCTTATTTTTAAGAAGTCATTACTCAAAATGACCAAGCTGAAATATGTGTTAATTGCTATCAAACAAATACTCTAGGTAAGGACTTTTTTTTTTTTTTTTTTGAGGAGTCTCGCTCTGTTGCCCAGGCTGGAGCACAGTAGCATGATCTTGGCGCACTGCAATCTGCCTCCCGGGTTCAGGTGATTCTCCTGCCTCAGCCTCCTGAGTAGCTGGGATTACAGATGTGCGCCACCATGCTCGGCTAATTTTTGTATTTTTAGTGGAGACAGGGTTTCACCAGGTTGGCCAGGCTGGTCTCGAACTCCTGTAGGTAAGGACTATTTATTAAATGTGGTTAATGACCAAACCTGAAAGTGAGTAGCAGGACTGACCTATAAGGGTCCAGGGTTCAGAGAGCGTGACTAAAGAATCCTAAGCTACGGAGGATACTGCTTTAGATTGCAGAAGAGCTGAGATAGGCACCAATGATAGAATGAGCCTAAGGTAACAAAAACTCTGAGTATAGCAGAAGTCTTTTTTTTTTTTGAGACAGGATCTCCCTCTTTTGCCAAGGCTGGAGTGCAGGGGTACAAGCACTGCTCCACTGCAGCCTCAATCTCTCGAGCTCAAGAGACCATCCCGTCTCAGCATCCTGAGTGGCTGGGACTACAGGTGTGCGCCACCACATCTGGCTGACTATTTTTGTAGAAATGGGAGACTCATTATGTCAGTCAAGCAAGTCCTGGCCTCAAGTGATCCTCCTGCCTTGGCCTCCCAAAGTGCTGGGATTACAGACGTAAGGCACCATGCCCAGCCCACAGAAGCCTCCTACCCCCACACCAAAATAACCCTTTCTTCGGCCAAAGTTTTCATGATCTGCAGGTGAACTATTTTGCTAGGAGAGAATACATCTTCAATTCTACAAAGAACAGTAATAAGAACACAATTTACAAAAACCCACTTTATAACCAACTTTGCTAAATCACATCTCTATAGTTAACTGTTCCATCAAGCATACATAGCCTCATATGTGCTAGGAACAGATCCCAATTAATAGAAATCAACTTTCCACACTGTCCTCACAGCCTCCTGCCCATTTTCTAGTTTTCTCCACATTCCCATCTCCTGAGGGAAAATGAGCCCCACCCCAGCTCACTGCTAACTCTGACCCCTTACCAATTCCCACCTGTTGATGAAGTTGCCCAGGTTGTTAAGCAGCTCAGAATTATTCTTCAGCAGCAGGTCCGTCCAGGAGAAAGCACTGTCCTGGCCCTCAGGCCGAATGTATAGCAGATAGAAGCGCCAGATGTCGGCAGGGATCCCCGTGTCCTGGGCCATGTCCCCAAACACTCCCACACCCCGGCTCTTAGAGAATTTCCCATCCTCATAGTTCAGGTACTCTGGACAGAGGAGAATGAGAACTATCTGTTCAAATCACATCCTTCCCCTCTCTAGCCCACTAACTCTTCCTTCTTTCCTCTTTCTAACCTCAACTATGGTTGTCTAGCAACATTTCTCCTTAACGGGCTGGTATGCTCAGATTTTGGGAGTCCCTTCCTGTCCATTCTGGCCCTTTTTTGTCTTTGCTTGTATCTACTACAGAGTTTTAGCTTTGGACTTTTGCTTTCTTCAGGTTCTTGTTTCATTTCTCTAGGTTGAGTTCTCATTTTAATTATTTTCTATTTCATCTCAACTCCTAACTCAAGACAGCAGCTCTCTAAGATCTTTTTCCAAGTACTGCCTCAACCCTCATTTCCTATGAACACCCCATCAGTAGTCTTCCAGGGTACTTACCTGTAGCAATGAGGTGGCTGACCAAGGTATAGTTATCCTCAGCTCCTAGGGCTGAGCAAGGAAAGACTATGCCATGGAAAGGAACATTGTCTTTGGCCATGAACTGATATAGGTCCACCTAAGGGAATGTAGTTAGGAGAGATTTCCTGAGACCTTCTTCAAAGGCCAGGAGACCAGACACCCAACCCTAACACCCACACCCTACCGCCTACCCTCCCCATGCACAGCCTAACCAAGAACTGCTCACTTGCTCTGGGTTCTTCCACCATCTCTCCCACTGGTCTGTGTAGTTGGCTGTGATGGACAAATAGCCAATAGTGGCATCAAACCAGACATAGAATACCTGGAGGTCAGGAGGAGGTAAACATGTTAGAGACCAATCCAAAGTCTCAAACTGAAACAAGACATAATCAGCAGTCTATTCTGCTAGCCCAGGGTCTCAACACCAAGGCTGAATGATATGAATAAAAAAGGGTTTTTACCTTGTCTTCAAAACCTTCTAAGGGTACAGGGGTTCCCCATTTGAGGTCTCGGGTTATACAGCGTGGCTTAAGGCCATCCCGAAGCCAAGAGCGGGTGATAAACCGGGCATTGGGAGTCCAGTCACTGCCAGGCAATGTCCTCCCCAACCACTCCTCCAGTCGCTTCTCCAGCTGAGATAACGGAGAAAGACAAGAGGGTTGATTTAGGAAAGTCTCGTATATGGTTAGCATAAGGATAAACACATACAACCTTTTTGGAGCACAATTTGGCAATATATAACTTTTTTTTTTTGGAGACAGAGTCTAGTTCTGTCGTCCAGACTAGAGTGCAGTGGTGCAATCACAATCACAGCTCACTGCAGCCTAAACCTCCTGGGCTCAAACAATCCTCCTACCTCATCCTCCGCAGTAGCTGGGACCACAGGTGCACACCACCATGTCAGACTAATTTTTGTAACCGTTGTAGAAACAGGGTTTTGCCACATTGCTCAGGCTGGTCTTAAACTCCTGAACTCAAGCAATCTGCCCACCTCAGCCTCCAAAAGGGCTGGGACTACAGTTGTGAGCCACCATGCCCAGCCTTAACTAGATTTTTCACACACAGCCAGTGGCTTGCGCCTGTAATCCCAGCTACT